ATAATCTTGTAAACCTTACTACTTTCTACAACAACAAAAACACGTTGTATTTTCCAATAAAATGTGTCAGGTGCCAAACACAACCCAACTGGCAGTCTGAAGAAACTGCCTCCCCAAAAGGTTGGTGAATATATGCAAACATGAGCTGTTTTTCTAAAGGCACTTGCCAGAGCCCTTCTGACACATCAAGCTTAGAAAAATATCTGGCATCAGTCCCTTCTTCCAGAGTTTCTCCATTTGTAGACAGTGGAAAATGCCCTCTTTTCATGTATTCAGATATTCTGGGTCAATGCATAAGGAAAGCCTTCTATCTTTAGTTCAGCAATGGCTGGCAAATACACCCACTCTTTTAGGTCTTTTACTTATGATACAACTCTCAGTATAGTCGGTTCATCTAGGTCTCCTAGCTTCTCCCTTCAAAAGAGAGGAGGTTTGCCAGTGAAAGAGCTGTAGATCTTTCAGTTTTTTTCTTAACCCTGTCAGGATCAGGAGTGTGGTCCCTTGCACCTCCAGTCTGTCAGTCCTCTTGTGGCCAGCAACTTAGGGCATTCTGTAACATTTCAAGTTTTATTACTGTTGATCATATATGCCTGCATAAAAACGATATGCCACATACCATGAACAAGTATGGACTCAGGAGGGAGACAAATATGCAAATAGCGTAGGGTACAAGCATAATTTTCCAGAGATTTTAATGAATAACAAGTCTATCGTTTCAGGACTCATTCATACCCTGACAGAATCTCTTGAAATTACAGTTCCTTCCCTCATGCATCTTCTGGTCATGACCCCTCCACTGATAGAGAGGACCTGATTTAGACCAGGCATGGTTTTCTGCTCTCTTTGAGACAGGGTTCCAAGAGATTTTTCTGATGTCCTGTGTAGTTTGTGTAACATCCCCCTCCTCGGGAACAGAGCAGATGTTTTTTTGATGAAGGAGCTCATACTGGGGGAGACCATAACTGAGGGTGGGAGAGTGGGAATGGAAAAGGCTGCAGGCTTCATTTACATATTACCTAAGTACTGAGGAGAATGTACACACTCAAACGCAAACCATCTACCCATAAGGTATCGTGAGTGCACACGCACACATACACACAAACACACATGCACACACGCACTCTGCTGTAGCTAGCCATGTAAGAAAAGATCCCAGACATGTATCACATTTGTCACTACTGGGACTTGTCTGTTGTCCTGGACTTTTAGGGACATCTGTGCCCCCTTCCCCCAGATTTGCAGAAAAAAATTGTGCCCAGAAGTAAATATGGGCTTGTCGAATTCATAGGGAAAGGTTCAAAGCCTGGGGGTGAGGCAGATGTGAAGACTCATGGAGATGAGGGATGAAATGAACTAAGGTTACTATTTTGTGCCACTAAGTTATTTCAGTAGCCTGGCTACGTTCTTGGATGTCTCAGTTCCTTCCCATCTGACTTGCAGTTCTTTCTGCGGATTTCCTGTTAAATTTCAGCCATTACCTATTATACACTGTATCATGCTGAATGTGCGTTTGCTGCATTGTGAAGTGTAAACGTATTAAGTATAGTACAAATTCTGAAGCAGGTCATGGTATGTCTACAGCAAGCTAGTATGTAGGTCAATACATCAACCCAAGTCCATATGAAGCCTTCGCCAACATGCTTTCCAAGCATGTATGCCACCCAGTTCTGGACTACAACAGTCTCATTTGTCTTGGTCTCTGTTAGAAGCCACAGCCGCTGCGTGTGGACTCTCAGACCAGGCTAAGACTAGATAAAGCCCAAATATTTGTGACTTTTTGCTGCCTTTGTTTCTTGCTACTCGCATTTAAGTTGTGACAAAAGTTATGATGAGAAACCCTCTTGATTTATTTTTTGCTGCAACCAGGGCGCAACATCTGTAATCGTCTATTCTAAAATCATATTGCAAAGCAGCTCCTTTCTCGCAGCACATCCTTTTTATTCTGATAATTTCTTTGTCCTGCAAGAAGCAGATGACCAAGAAATTAAAAAAAAGAATCATCTGGCATAAGTTCCAGATAGCAAGTCCTAAACAAGCCATTTATAACTCAGACTACTTTATATTTGTTGTAAGTCATATATGGTCATATGCTGAGGACAACTTACTCCATTGCTTAAACATCAATCCATTTATATTTACCACACTTGAACGTTAACAACATCATTAGAATCAAGTGACCCTGCAAATATTTCATCAAAATCCCTGATGTCAGAACAGTCCAGCTGCTATATAAATAGTCACACACCCCAGGGCTTTACTGCACCATTAACCATTTAACAAAGCCAGGTACCTTTTCCTGTATGGAAGGTAAATCTTCATACCTACCAGCCTGATCTGTCACACTAACTAATAAAGCTCCTCTGTCAAGTAGGTCTCTCAAGGATCCAGTTCTTTTCTATTTCTATTGCTGTAATTGCCCAGAGCCCTCAAATGTTCAACTTTAGACTAGGTGGAGTCCAGGTCTCCTAACATATGCTGTGTTCCTCCATTGGAGGGAGTTAGTACGTACTAACAGGCAGTTATCAGCAGGCTGTAATGCAGGCAAGTCCTGGATGTCAGCTTGTCGCATGAACATCGTTTCTGGGTGACAGCAGAAATAATGTCTCAGAGTTATTCCTGTGTGCTCCAGTTGATAGTGAATGTATACAAGGTGGGTTTTTCTACCATCCGTGACTAACAATGAAATGCAAAGCGTTCTACTGAAGGGTCTTTTCATAGCTATGTAGGACCACAGGAGATGGCGAGGTGTAGTCTTCCCTTTTCGGGGGAAACCTTCCCTTTCCCTTTTGCACCTGCCCATCATTCCTGGCAGCTGTTTGCCTATTTTGTTCCAAAAAAATCTGCAAGAATGGGAGCTGCACAGACTCCCTTGGTAACCTGTACTAGAGCTAAACTACCGCTTGAGACACTGTCTGCTCTGAGATAGGTTTGTTCGCTCTCCAGACATAGCAGGACATCAGTGACTCATCTCAAAGCATGCAGATAATACGTGCTTTTCAGGGAACAGCATTTTTGGATGAACAATCTGTAAAACTGCTGTTTCTTCCTTTTTCAATTAAACCGCTTGGCAAAAATAGATAATAACTTGCTTTTCTGTTCAAAAAACGTTCAAGAGCTCTGTGGGAACCAGTCCCAGCCAGCCCTGGGAGACAGGCTGGTCACAAACGACTTGCAGATCTCCACAGGCCAATTTATCTTCTATGCTGTCATGACCGTCCTCCCTCATGCGCGCATGCGTGCGCAGGCTCCCACGGGCACACCGCAGCAGAGCCACGGGCTTCATCCCTCCCCGAGGGCTCCCCTGCGCTCGGCTGGCCCCAGGGCCAGGCGCCTGCCAGCTGAATTTACCTGTCAGTCTGGCTGGCTTCCCCGAGTGGTGCATGGACTTGGTAGGTACGGCCAGGACAGTCACCTTAAGCAAAAGAATTGCTTACATTTCCCAAAATGAACATAAAACAGAGCATAAGAGAAAAAGCAGCAAAAAGGAAAAAGAAGTTCTACGTGCCTGCCATTTTCTGTGGTACCAGACAGGGCCTGGCTGTTTCACGCAGCTCAGTTGCAGGCTGTGTTTCTCATCTGTTTCCCATAGTATTTCCCTGTCAACTACCCGATCCCTAAAATGAAAGTCACTTTTGTCCTTTTGTTTCAATTTCAGAGGCCTTTGTTATATCCTGAGTGTGGAAATGTGGATTTTTGGCTTGTAACTGGAGACCCAAAACAAAAACAGTTTCCAGAAATAAAATTGCCACAACTAAAGGATGTCTGAAATTTTTTAATTATGATTTTTATACATGGATTGTTATGTGACTATATTTTAAAACAATTTTCTTAAGAGATCCTTTCAGTAAACTTTTAATTTTAATACAGATGACAGATCCAAAACAATCAGTGGGCTAAAATTTACTCAGATACTTTGTCACAACTGGCTAAAGGAAAAATTAAGTTTCTGCAAACTACTGTTTTTCCTGGAGACTTCTGTCTGGTGCTGGCAGCTAAATAAGTAATAGGCAAAGCAAGTGCTTCAGAGAAGCTTGTTTGGGGGTTCCCTGCACAAGCCGTGTGGAATGCAAAGGACTTGGGAAGTCTGTACTAATCCAGCTCAGAATACGCGTGATAAAACTGCGGGCTGTTCAACGCAGCAAAAATTTCCGTAAGTGCAAGAATATCTTCTTCTAGTTCAGAATATCTTCTGGAGAAATTGCACAGAAATTAAGAGAAGGGAGAGAGCCATGGAAAAGGTAGAGTTCCTCTTCTGGCTCTTAGGTGCAGCAGGAGGATGCTGAAGGCTCCCGCGAGATGCCGAGCAGCGCACGGCCGGCCCCAGGGCTGGGACTTTCTTAAGTCGCTCTTCAAGTGGTGTATGCCAGCTTTGGGATGAAAGGCCCTCAAAGAAACTGCAGGTCAGAGCAGCGCGGGGCGGTGGGCAGACACGTGTATCTGGGAACGGGACGCCACTGCTGGTGGCATTTCTACTGCGGCAGGTGGCTCTGCGCCCACGGGCTCTTGCCTCGTGCTCGGTGGTGGCAGCTGCTCGCTGTTTCGCCTGGGGCGCCCTGCTCCCCGGCAGGGAGCATTGCTAGCAGCGGAGGGAGAAGGAGGGAAGCTGGCATCGTTTGGGGCACTGTTTTGTCTTGAACTGCCGCCTGTGGCTATCGCACACGTTAAACAGGGGGGCTGGGAGGGGCTGAAAAAAAGCCGGGGAGAGGGGCTTGCCTGGCGCCGCTGCCGAGCGAGGCCGCAGGCAGGAGGGAGTCTCTCGTACGAACGAGAGGCTGGGATGAGGGTGTGGTGCAAGAGAGTCGATCCGCAGCGGAGGGCTAGCTGGCAAACCTTCACCCCCCTCTAACATCTGGTCTTTTTTCTCTATGGACCCCGAGCACTGAAGGGCCTTTTGTCGAGAAAGAGCCATTTCCATTTTTCTGGAAACCAGGGGGCTTTATAATATTTGCAGGGAGAGAGACCTCTAAGAACATGTATGGTGGTATTAGTTTGTTCATTTGTTTTTCCCGGGGGAGGGTTACAATTTCTGTTGTTACATGCTCCACTTAGGGTTTGATATGTGGTATTTGCAGAGCTTCACTCCAGCCAAGTTTTCTTCAAATATCAGATGGGTGATATTTTAACTTAATGGACATGTTTGAAATCTTGGAAGTAATTTTTCCCCCCAGTATCTTGAACTGACATTGCCATGCACATGTGTATACTGCTTTTCCTGTTTCTTCATGCATATCCTGATGATATGCTATGATAGCACATTCTGGTAAAAGACTGGAATAATAAAAACACTTTTTTTTTTCCTTGGGAGGAGCCACAGTCCATTAGGAAAGAAGTTGAGAGTTATTCTTTACTACAGCTGGTCCTTTCAGGCATTTATCTAACAATATCATCAGTTCTTGGATTACTTTCCCTTCAGCTAAGCTACATGCTTGCCTTTCTAAATTTAAAGCTTGCTCAGTGAACACAGTCGCTAGTAAGAATCCATCAGTCCGCAAGTTTGTTAAAGGTGCAATGCTATCATCAGCTCAGTTTCGGGATCTTTCACCTACTGCAGCAGTGCACAAACAAACAAACCAAAAAAAAGCAGAGCAGCAGGGGAAGAGTGGCTGTTACAGAGGATAATACCACTGAACAGCTTCCTGATTCTCAAACAAGTGGGAATTCCTTCTGATAACATGGGATTACAGTGGATTTGCAACCAGGACATTGGGTTTTGCTAAGCCGGTGTATCAAAGCTTTTTTTCCTCATTGTCTGAGGTTGAGTGATGTTTGCCTGCTCCGTTGCAGATGAGAGGCTGGAAGCCGGTGCAGGACATTGCCTGCCAAATCCTGTAAAGTGACGGCGACTCCGAGGCGTGAGGCTAAGTGAAGGGGAGCATACATGTGCTCTGGCGATCTTTACGTAGCGGGAGCAGAGGGGGGCTCTGTGGGGAGAGCAGGGTACAAGGCGCTGGCAGACACAGTACGTGTGTGCAGGGACTGCTCCGAGCATGCTGCTGGGCTTAGGGATGCTCCTAGACCTTGAGACCTAGAGTTATGCACAGACTGCATTTGTGTAGCACAGCACCTCCGGGGTCCTGATCCACAATTATCCAGATGGTCCATGTGGCTAGGGAGCACTGAATCTTCCACCTACGCACCTAGGATTTATGGGGAGGTCTTACACTGTCACCTCTATGCAAGAAGCTCTGTGTGCCCTTCTATCCTCTGATGTCCAGGACAGAACAGTCCTTTAAACCCCATTGCTTAACTCTGCAAAGTTAAACAAAATGAAGCTAAAATACAACATAATATCATCACTAAGTTTTGCCTTTAATTTCTGAGCTGCATGCTGCGGCAGGCTGTGGCTTCTCTTTTGTCTGAAGACTTAGGCTAAATAGTCAGGGTGTGTCGAGCGGAGCAAGGACCTATCTGTGGGTCAGCACCCCTGATGTTACATTCGCTTTGTCTCTGAAGAGACAAGTAACTAAGCTCCACAGAGGCAAAAAAAGACTTGAAATGGTGAATGAAAGGCAATTGCACATTTGTAAAGCCCATTGCCTGAAAGACTGTCCGTTTTCCTCCCCTTTGAATGCAAGAATGGCTGGAGCAAGTCAGAGCAGAGGTCTGCCTGATGCAGTAGCTTGTGCATGATGTGGGCTAATAGCAGAGTCCTGACCCAGAATCCTAGGTACTAGACAAGCATACAGCCTCGTTGCTTTCAGCATACCCTTCTAGCTTCTGGAAATCTGCAGCTAGTGGTCTTCTTGAGCCAGAGACTGTATCCACTTCATCATGCTGAATAGCCTTTGATGGACTTTCGCATGGCTCAAAGCCATGTTCAAAGTCAGTGCATAGAGCTGTTTATGCTCCTGAGGCCAAGATATGAAAAGGCTGTAGAAGGACAAACGACCAGTCCACCAAGAGCTGCTACTTATCAACTTGCCGTTGGGGAGATGAGTTTCACTTCTTTGGTGTTAATCTTGACTCCTAGAAATGCTAGAGGAGAATTGGACCTTTTTAGCATACTGTATTTTTAACAGGCAATGCCTATGCACACAGCAAAAAAATCAGATTTAGCATATGCTGTTTCTCCATCAGAAGCTATTAGCCTCCACTTCTTAAACATTCTTTTTTTCAGAAACTAAATTAAACTCAAAAGCTCCTGAAGACTCCATAGGAAGCCTGTAATATGAAATGAGGATGAGATGCACTTTGCACCACTTCCTAACTGATAGCTTTCTAGTACTCCCAGCAAAGGATTTAACGAAAGTAAAAATGTGAAACAACACTTTGCAGGAGTTTCTAGGCTACCAGGAATGCACGTACAAGAATTCTTACTGGAAGCATCTCTCCTTAGTCAATTTACCCTTTCTAAAGGGAGCATCTCTAACCACTTTTGGTGGCATAGTCAGATAATTCTATTAAGTGAAATACAAGAAGTCATCACATTTTACATTCCTTAAGGATGCAAACTTTCCTTTTGGCCCCATGTTGTACATAATTCTACACGCACCCAGAAGAATAAAGCAAACCAGATAATTGCTACATTCACCCAAAAGCCCTCCACACTCTGATAAGGATCTTTCCAGGCCATATACTCCTGCTTCAGGTTATTCTTAGGGCACTGCTTGTTCAAGGTTATTATCACAGTACAAGGGCTCACTGTGCTTGTACCCTTGCCAAAGTCCCAGAGATCTCCTTTTAAATCAGATTGCGTGATTGCTCTGAAGATCCTCAGACTACACATCAGCATAAGCATTGTTTAGGTTTGAAATATAGTTTGATCCTTTACAGAAAGTCAGAAATTTCAGAAGAAATGTAATGCTATTCTAATGACATAGGCTCACTATTTTTGTAAGTCATCATAAAAAATTGGCAGTGTCTTCACTTCGGTGAAAAGCTAAGCTTCTCAGAAAAGCTCTCAGAAAAGCTAAGCTTCTTAATAAATCTCCGTAGCAGTTGATGGAAACCCACCAACTGCAACGGTGTTTATTGACCTTTCCAAGGTGTTAGATTTAATCAGACTTTCGTTAGTACAACTATACATGACTTAGTCAAGTTACCTTTTTTCCACTTGCGCGCTGATAAGGTTCTAAGCTTTTTTCAGCATTGACCAGTTCTTCACTTTAAGGCACGTGTTTGCACTTCAAGCTGCAACGTATTGCGGAAATACCTGTGCTAGCTCAGATACTGGGATCAGTTTAATTGCAGTGGCTTGGAGATCAGCAGAGGGTAAGCTACCCCATGCCTTGGCAGGCCGATCTGCAGTGTGACTGTGGCCAGCATTTGAGCAAGCTCGTTTAAAGCCAGCTTAGATATCTCTGCACTACGCTACAGTTGTAGTGTAGACACATGCATCAGAGGTTTAGTAATGCTCAATCTTTTGCTTAGATGCTCACTCTGTAAGCCTCCTGAAGGAGCATCTTCCACCAAAGAAAATATTAGTGGGATCTTCATTATACACTTTTCTCCTTTCTTCCAAGCTTCCGTCGGTGTCATACCAAAAGCGGCTGAAGTCAGGTTTGTCGCCCAGGAGGCTATCTGCTTTTTCCAGCTATATTATTAGAGCAAGACAGGTACAGGAAAACTATGACCACAGCATTTAGGATATCTTTGTCCACCTGGTTTTAGTCATAGGCACATGTATCATTCAACTGAAGGAGGAGTATGCAGTGGCACTCAGTTGCGTCAGCAACTTGTTCAGTTATGAACATCCATCTATCAAATTGCTTATGCTCTCTTTTCAAAACACTTTTTTTCCTGGGGAGTACTGTTCAAAATTGGGATAATACTTTTCCATATTTAAAAATTCTGGCTATAGCCATACGCCCGTGTACTCAAATACATACAGTTAGTATTTCCACAAAGGTTTATTTGATTCTAGTGTAGTTATACAAACATAGAGTGTAGTAAAAGCTACCCAAATTCCTAAAGTAATCAAAATAAAATGTTTTTGTAAATTATTTCTACTGTCAACACAGAACTGTGGTGCTTTGACTCAAATTTTCACGCTACATAAACTTTTTATGTGTGCATGTATATGTAAAAAAATATACTCCTTAACATATATAGCGATCAAAATGGTAATGCAGAAGTCCATTTGACGTATCTTTCCCTGGAAGGACACATTCTGAAAAGTGCTGAGAGGCAAATTTGAAAGTCGTTAGCAATTTCTGACACCACAATGTGTCACAAGTCAGCCATGTGAATGTCCCTGCGTAGATCCCTGGCAGTCATTCAGTCCCCCTAGATGCATTTCACACAGTACCAAACGCTTCCTTAGATTTTCTTAACTTCTTTCTCGTAAGCTTTCACTAGTGAAACAATTTAATCTGCTGCTATTTGGAATATCATTTTTCAGATGGGATGTTAGGAAAAACTTCCTCACCGGGAGGATCTTGCATCGCTGGAATAGGTTACCCACAGAGGTGACGAAATCTGCATCCTTGAAAGTTTTCAAGACTTGGCTAGACAAAGCCATGGCTCTCCTGAAATGGGGCTTTGAGCAGGAGGCCAGAGTGGCTGACCTCCGGACGCCTCTTCCAACTCACATTTCCATGAATCTGTGATCCAAGTTAGCACCTAGTTGTGCCAGTCACAAGTCAAATTTCAGATTTAGACTTTGTGCAAATGATAGGTAATCATTTTCACATTGAAATGGATTTTCATGCAGAGGTGGCAAACATTCTTCTCCTTAGTGCTTTAAAGATTTTTTGTAACAACTGGGACTTACTTTTTCCTTCTAAGTTGGCACTAAGAATTATTTATCAGTCCAGTCCCGCAAGTTAATCCTTTTCCCCTATCAGGACAGCACTCCCTATGGGACACTTTGACTAAAACTTTAAGGGAGGTAAAGCTTTTTCAACAGTTGTCACTCACCTTGGTCCCAGACAGAAGTATTTGTTTGGGTCATCTCTTGAAGAATGATGACTTCTTACAGGGACCCACGCATTTCCTTATTGTACTTTAATATTTCAGATTTTCTTTAATGTAAATAATCCCATTGTTTTGTAAGATCACCTTAGAGCCTAGGAAAGCATAATGTGTGCTTTTTGCTGCCACTCTTCGTTCCAGGATATAATCCCTTCCCTTCCACCTGGTATCTTCTTTTTTCTTATGTAACATACTTTGCTTCTGTGTCAATGTTTGTATGCCATCTATTTTAGCATTTCATATATTTTAAGAACATGCCTCAGCAGTGTGATAAATTAGTGTAACCTTCTGCAATACACAGAGCACACAACTTTACCCAGGATTTCCTGGTGAAATCCCTCTGGCATGTAGTTGACTTCCAGTGTATACTGTAAGGAAGCAGTTCAGTCTTGCTGTAGATCCTTCAGGTGGTGGTGCACCTGCCAGTTGTTTGGAAGGCCGACCTAAGAGTTAAGAACCCTCACAGCTGCTCATTTCTTACTTGAATTTTTTTTTAGTTTCAGCTTTCAGGCTTTGGATCATGCATTTGTCTCTCCAATATCTGATATAATCTTCCTGTACATGGCTTACAATCAGAACTATGACACCACTTAGCAGATTTTACTCCCTGAATCTCTTATTGTAACAATCTTCAGTTTTTTTACCATATGATTTTAAAGTGAGTACAAGGCTCGCATTTGTATTGATGCAGGTCTGCAGAAGCATAGTTAAATGGCGTTGTTTCTATCAGCTGCTCTGCTATGAAGTAGTACAACAAAACTATTGAACAGCTGCAATTTCAGCAGGGACTTCAGGGTACAGTCTTCAGAACAAATAACCAGCTTAGTTCATTTTCTACTACCCATATTAAGCAAGGTTAATTGCAGTCATTAGCCATTGACATTCCCTTTTAGACTGAAAATTCTTCACAGCAGTGAGTATGACTCTTGTTTATTTATGCAATCACTTGCTACACTTCCAGGTGCTACAAGATAAATAACAACAAGTATGGCTTGCAGAGCAAGATCTTCAGAACAATTCAGAAAACTATTATTGATTATTGTAAAGTGGTAAAAGTATGCAATAATAGTAAGAGTAGAGAAAACACTTCAGATGGATAAATAGATTTTTCATTCTCCATTTGCTCAGCCAGTTCAAAGAGGGGGATTTTGGAGGGGTAATACCTCTTAATGCCTGAACAAAAAATGATGCAACCATAATTAAAACAATGTAAACATAATTCCTCATGTAATTCTGATGAGATTTCCAAATAGTGATTTTCTAAGGTGAGGACTACCATGGGGTTGGGTAGCACATCTGAGAGCCTGTCAGCTGCACTGTAGAGTCACCCCCAGATTTCTAATGCTACCCTTGGGTCTGCTGCGTGTGCCTCATGCCTTTTTTTCACCTAACACCCAGGCTAAGGGGCAGGTCAAAACATAGGCTACAACACCAGAACCTTTTAAAAGTCCACAAGCCACAGCAAGCGCTTAGGCTGTAAGGAATTATCCATGCCATGATACCCAATGTAATCCTGAGTGGGTAGTGACAGATCCACACGCAGAGGTGATACCTAGGAAAGAATCATTTGGTGGTGGTGGGGAAGTACCCACTAGTTTTCAGGAGGTCGCAGGACTGTGTCCCTATCTGGTGACGAAATAATGGAAGTTTGATGTAAAGCTTCTGATTAGTTTTTCATTGGTTAAGTGTGCTGTCATTCGATACCCTGACGGGGAGGTTTTTGGAAAGGGAGGGGGGGGGCAGCTCAGTTAAGCTCTTATTAAACTCAGCTTTTTCTAATTTTGTAATTCACCTCCAGACATTTGCTTTTGCTCCAAACACAATATTAGCTGTAGATGTTTGTCTGTGTTTGTGGTGTGGGTTGCTTCTTTGCTTGCTGTTGTCTGAATTACCCTTTTCTACTACCAGGTAGTAATTAAATAGTTGATCCTTCTTTGGCTATAAAATACTCTGCTAATTATTAGACTAATGCTCTTGAATACAGGTCTTCACTGAGGTTTGCTGGTATAAAAATATATGCATTTAGATGCACTGGAAGGAGCAGATGTTCTTATTATAACTTT